GAGCCAGTGTTCCTTCTGGTGATGTTTCTTTACCTCAGCTGGACAGCTGCTTTCTCACAGATCCATAAGTGCTTCTGTGAGCAGTCGCCTTAGGACACCAAAATGAGAGCTGCCCTCACAGTGGAGAATTGAGTGGCGATTGCTGTGTGGAAGCTGGCAACTCCAGACTGCTACCGATCAGTCACAAATCAATTTGGAACATCTACTGTAGGGGTTGAAGTGATGCAAGTGCTCAGGGCCATTAATTGTCTCCTGTTACAAAAGACAGTAGTCTGGGCAATGTGTGGGAAATAGTGGATGGCTTTGCAGCAATGGGATTCCCTAGCTGCGGCAGGCGATAGATGGCACACATATCCCAATTTTGGCCCCAGACCACCTTGCGACGGACTATATGAACAGAAAGGGCTACTTCTCTATGGTATTGCAAGCGCTGGTGGATCACCAGGTCATTTCACCACATCAAAGTGGGATGGTCAGCGAAGGTGCGTGACGCACGCATCTTCAGAAACACTGACCTGTATAGAAAGCTACATGCAGGACTTTCTTTCCAGACCAGAAGATTGTAATTGGGGATGTGGAAATGCCAATTGTGATCCTGGGAGACCCAGCCTACCCCTTGTTCCCATGACTCATAAAGCCTTATATCGGAAACCTTGACAGCAGCAAGGAGCACTTCAACAACAGGCTCAGAAGTGGCAGAATGACTGTGGAATGTGCCTTTGACAGATTAAAGGGTCACTGGTGCTGCCTTTTTAGCAGGCTAGACCTCAATGAGGAAAATATTCCCATGGTCATAGCAGCCTGCTATGCTCTGCATAACATTTGTGAAAGTAAGTGGGGAATGTTTCTGTAGGGGTGGAGTCTTGAGGTGGATCTGCTGGTGGCTGCTTTTGAGCAACCAGACACCAGGGCAATTAGAAAGACTCAAGGCAGGGAGCTATTTGAATCAGGGAGGCTTTGAAGGAAAATTTTGACAGTGAGCCCCAGTAATGTGTCTTCTGTAATTAAGGCTACGTTTTAGTCATGGGTATTTTTAGTAAAAGTCATGGACAGGTCATGGGTAGTAAACAAAAATTCATGGCCCATGACCCGTCCATGACTTTTACTAAAAATACCCATGACTAAAACTTGTGGGGGCTGCCCAGGGCTCCCTCAGATGCTGAGGGAAGGCGGCCCGGGTGCTGGGGGGGCGGGCAGTGGCGCGCAGCCGGGACCTCTGCTGGTGCTGCGGGGGGAGCAGTGCTGTGGGCAGAGGCAGTGCGCAGAACTGCCTGGCCATGCCTCTGCCTAGCAGCTGAGCGAGGGGGATGTCGCTGCTACTGGGGAGCACCCCAGGTAAACACCGCCCAGAGCCCACCTCACCCCCTCCCATGCCCCAATCCCCTGCTCCCTCCCACACCCAAAAGTTGCACTGTAATATGACCCTTGTAATGATTGCTGAGTGCATTAAGTGTACTCTTCAAATGCTACTATTGCTATTGTGTATGAATTTCAGCGGCAACCATCATATGTAGTCCAATAAAGATTTGTTTTCTTTCCATAAGTTCATTATTATTTAACAGCTATACAAACATTTCTATTACCTAGAAGGGACATTACAATGAAGAGCACTTTTTAATGAGGCTCTCACAGCTGGGTGTATGTCCAGCTGTCATTGTGAAACATGCCTCTAAGGATGGAGTGTCTGGGGTACTGTGATGGGCCAGGAACATACAAGGAATGTGTGGGGGGGGGATTTTGGGGAGGTCATGGAAGGCAGTTCTGAAATGGCTGCAGGGGGAGGCGAGTATGGATGTGTTCTTCCTGCAGCCCAGTCAGGGACCTCAGCATGTCCGTTTGGTCCTCGAGCAGCTGTATGATCTGCTCCTTCCCCTGTTTCCTCTTCTGGCTATCTGTTTGCAGTTTTTCACTGATAGCCTCTCTCCAAGCTCTCTCCTTGCTATCAGCAGGATCAGATGATGATAGCACTTCCTTGAACATGTCTTCCTTACTCCTCCTGGTACATCTCCTTATCAGACTGAGCTCCTCAGCCGGTGTTCAAGAGGAGACTCTCAAGGCCATATCTCCAAAAGCTATAGAAACAATCGACAGAGGCACTATTGTGAGTGCATGCACCACCTTGATTCATACAAATTACATACACCACTTTCTCACTTTCCCTTGGCAAGCATACAGCACATCGAGAGCCCTAACCATGGTGAGTTAGGCACAAAGGAAAGGGGGTAAGATGGGACAAATCGGGGGGGGAGGTTAATGGTGGATCATTAATCATTACAAGCGCTTAGGGACACTATTCTGAATACTGGCACTGTTTTCCACAGGCGGAGTAATAGAAGCTGATATCTTGCTCCTGAGGGTAACCGAGGATGCTCCTGCATGTGTGCGGCTGCAGACCAAGTCCATATGCTGCTCACCTGTGTGCTGCTTTGGTGCCTGCAGACATAACTGCTGATTGGTGTAGCAAAGTTTCCTTCCGCAGGGGAAGGAACAAGACAGCCCTCCCAAGGAATCTACAGCAAAGGATTGCAGAGTACTTCCACAAAAGTTTCCTAGAGATCAGTATGGCGGATTCCTGGGACATCCCGGTGTGCATCAACAAACTTTTCCACATGCCCCTCCCCGGGTCTAGCTACACAGGGGAGTGAGAAATAGATGCATACAGTGCTACTGTTGGTTATTTCTATCCCTCTTCTACCCTGGAAACAAAAATAGCTCTAGCTCATTTCTCCCTGCAATATCAAAGCACAATGAGTACTTACCAGAGCTCCCCTGTCCTGCATCCGGCATGCCAGAGCCAGAGTGCTGGGGCTGGCTAGATCCCTCCAGAGATTGAAACATGCCATGCCACCAGACAACCCTGTCACCTGTCCTCCATCCCGATCCTCCTCCAACTCCACTTCCTCATCCACCACTTTGTCCTCAGAGTTCACTCCACTGGCCACTGCCTCCAGTCCCCATGGAGTATCCACGGGGTTCTTGGCAGTGGAGTCGGGGTCGCCACCGAAGATGCATGTAGCTCCTTGTAAAAGCGGCATGTCTTTGGCAACACACCAGACTGACAATTGGCCTCCCTTACTTTCTTGTATGCCTGCCTCAGCTCCTTAATCTTTGCGCAACACTGCTGCGTGTCCCTCTCATACCCATTCCGCTCCGTGCCATGAGCAATCTGCCCATAAGTATTGAAGTTCCTATGGCTGTTGCAGAGCTATGACTGCACAGCCTCCTCTCCCCACAGACCTAGCAGATCCACCAACTCCGTTACATGCCTGCCTGGAGTACATTTGCTGCGGGGAGCTGCCATGGGAAGATGCTATGTGAGCTGTCCACGCTGAGAAAACAGGAAGTAGAATTTCAAAAATTCCCAGGTCTTTAAATGGGGGAGGATCGCATGCCTGTGTACCTGGCTGCAGGGCAACGGAGTTCAAAGTGGTGACCAGAGCGGTCATGATGGGCATTAGGGGTCATCTCCTGGAGGTCTATGAGGGTGCCATAAGCAACGCAGTGTCTACACTGGCATTGCCTCATTCTAACTTCATCGCAAAAAACTGTGTGGCTCTTGTCCAGGTGGTTTTATTATGTCGGCATAGCAAGAGAGTTACAGCAGCAGAGGAGCATTGCAGTGTATACATCTCCACTGTTTTGTCAACAAAACTGTAGTGTAGACATGGCCTCGGTTTGCAGCCAGATTTTGCTGAAGCTGGCACTTCAGTTTTGAATCTCTACCACAGAGAAAGAAGCTTTGAATAGGTAGCAGTAAATCCAGAAAAAACAGCAACCGGGTTAATTAGACTGTGGGATAGTAGGAGTTACCCTTTACAGTCCAACTTTCCACTACTGCAGTTGGAGGTAGCATCAGCCTTCCCAACCTTATTAAGAGCATGGATTAACCTGGAAGCTGAAACCAAGGCACTTCTCCAGCAATGAGGTGCTCTTTGTTCTGTAGCTGCAGTGGTAAACTGCTAGTGGTACCAGTAGCTGTAAGTCTTATAGAAGGGTGGCTAGGCTGTGTGCTCCTTTTGGATATGGTGTTCCTTTGCCTTCTGTGTGATCTCGTGAAACATACACCCTGTTATCCATTTAAGAATTAGGTTTTTCAGCCACCTTCTCGTGAGATTAGGCACAAGTACAAGGAGGTGGTTTGAGATGATTACATACGTCTCCTTTATATATTTACATTCTGGGGACCACCCACATCACAGAATGCATTTAAATTGTTCACCAAACTTTCTTTTGGAGTCAAGACTAAATTACAGATTCACTTTTCCCAGACTACAAGAAAAATTAGCTACTTTTCCAATGACTATTATTAGACACTTTTTTTTTTTAAAAGAGTAGGATCCCTTCACTGGAGACCTTTCAAATAGTGGGTAAAGTCTTCACACCTCCGAAATTCCTTTAACTGCTAGTTATTTAACTCTAGATTGCAATAAAATTCTAAGAGGTTGAAAACAAGCTCCTTTTTTTGCATGCAAATTTAAATATTTTTGGTGATGGTTTGGGGAAAAGGGATGAAATCCCCATTAGAAAAGGTGAGATCTTGTCTATTTTCAGATGATACTGATAAATTCTTCTGAGCATTGTGGAATTATAGTATTGTTTTAATTATTTCAATCGATAAGTCAGCATTGCTTCAAGCCTGTACTTGAGCAAAAAAATGGCCTTTGGGAAACATGAGGTCAGTTTTGTTTGATGTCACAACAGTGCCAGTGTAAATATCTATTAGAAAGCACTTTGTAAGTTCTACAAAGTAATCTTTCTTCTGTTGGGGAATGCCCACCTGTCAGCATCAAAAATGTTCTTTTATAGCATTTAAAATCTGTCACGTAATGCTTCTAATTACCATAATCTTCTCAAAATCCATTGCTACTGTAGTAATCAATTGGTTTCCTCAAGTATTAATAGTCAACAACGAGTTAACAAGCTAATTGGCAACAGATATAACACTTCATGTCTAATTATTTGGTAATTAAAATGTACTTTTTCTATTATTCTTTCTCCAGAATGCTAGAAGATGACCTCAAGTTAAGTAGTGATGAAGAAGAGAATGGCCAGGTATGAGCTACTGAATTCAAATGTAATCTGTAGAATGTTTAATACCAAGTCTGATTTATTCAAGTAATATTACGCTATTACTTTTTAAAGTATGTGTAGAGGTTATCAAAATAATTTAAAGTACTGTAAATGGAATACCAGATGTGCTTGTTTCATGCCAGATTGTTTGTTTTAACTACTGTATTTAATGGAAATGTGCTACACTGCTCTTGATTTATTAGCTTGATGTAATTCGGAAATATTTTTGGATACGTCTGTTTTTTAAATAAAAAAATAATTCTGTATTAAAGATTCAGGTCCAAATCTTCAAACCTGGGTGTCCAAAGGTCCTAAATCTATATCTGGCACCAAAAATTAAAATGGTCTGATTTTCAAAAGGTGCTCATCTGCCATTGAAGTTGATGGGATTTGCAGTTGCTCAGTACTTCTGCAACCCGGGCCACTTACATGTTGGTACATGAATTTATGTGCATTACTTTGAGTGCCCAGGTGTGAAAAGGTTGATCTCATTGCTTTTAATTTCTCTTTAGTTTGGCTACATCTACACTTGGAGCTGGGGGTGTGATTCCCAATTCCTGCAGACGTAGTCATGCTAACTCTTCTTGAGCTAGAGCAGTGGTTTTCAACCTGTCGTCTGCGTCTACTAAGGTCTGTAGACTATGTCTAAGATTTCCAAAGGGGTCCGCGCTTCCATTTGAAATTTTTTAGGGGTCTGCAAATGAAAAAGGTTGAAAACCACTGGACCTGGAACAGTTTTTCTCAAGCAGTTTTTCTCAAGGACCGCTGCCAGTTCCTGAGATCTCCCTGACACAGGTTAGAAAGGCAGCAAGCCAGTCCCTGGTATCAAAAAGGTTGCGAAACACTGAGCTAGAGCACTAAAAATAGTAGTGTAGCCACAATAGCACAGACGGCAGTGAGCAGCAACATGGGCTAGCCACCCAGAATACCAGCCTGCCTGGATCCCCTGGGTATGTACGTGGGGCGGCCGCCGCTGCCCATGCTACTGCAGCCACACTACTGTTTTTAGTGCGCTTGCTCAATGAGAGCTAGTGCAAATATGTTGACACAAGCTCAAAACCACACCCCTCGCTCGCAGAGTAGACATAGCCTAAGCATCTGTATTTTAAAACATGCTGCAAACCTTTTTGATATTTATATTAGATAAACTAATATTTCACCAATTTTGAATAAAAAGGTTGGGTGTTAAGAAGATTCAGCTCATGGATTAAAGTTGTTTACCATATTTATAAAATTTCTTTTTGCTTAATGTATTTCTTGCAAGGGATCCCGAAACACGTCCGAGTTAATTACTTTTCTTGCATGTCTCGGTAGTTTAATGTACAGTGTGTAGACAGACTAGGGCAAGGCGAAATAAGAGACAAAGAGAATGTTCTGGGAACAGTAATGAGCTCAAGGAATTGTTGGGTTCAAGGAGTAGGATTATGTGTTTTAGGAAGTAAACGTTAGGATTTAGGAGTCACAGTAAACCATTGAGTTAAGGAAGAAGAGATGAGTCTCAATTAAGGATGGGATTTGGAATCATGGAAACATGGGACAGGGTGGCTGTTTCTGAAAATGGTAGAAAATAGGCATATGGATCTATATCTCCCATGGCAAATGGAGATAGGGATAAGAAGGTGTATGCTAGTCAAGGAATGCAGGGTATAAGAACATAATACGTTTTGGGGGGAAAATTGCTGTTAATTCCTGCCTACTTCCACAGACCTGACATCTTTTTCTCCCTGTGCCACATCTTCAAGCTAATAATACCTTTCCTATGGCTCAGCAACTGGTATTGTGAATGTTAGCTTCTGGAATACTAAGTACCAGGCAATAGAATATTACAGTATCGCCTTTTTGTTTTGTATAATCTATTTTTCTGCTTATACCACCTCATACCTTTCAGAGTAACAGCTGTGTTAGTCTGTATTCGCAAAAAGAAAAGGAGTACTTGTGGCACCTTAAAGATTAACCAATTTATTTGAGCATAAGCTTTCGTGAGCTACAGCTCACTTCAGTACAGTTCACTTCAGCTACAGCTTCACTTCAAGTGTAGCTCACGAAACCTTATGCTCAAATAAATTGGTTAGTCTCTAAGGTGCCACAAGTCCTCCTTTTCTTTTCACCTAATACCTTGTTTACCTTTTTAATTATTAGTGTGCAGTGCATTAATGGTTTCAATGACTTTTACGCTGTTGCCCCTTTTTCCTGATCAGTGTGCTGGAAGATAGCTCCATTTAGCACATCTTCCATGAAGTGGTTCCTCCATTTCAGACTAATTATTTTATATTTTAGACACTGACCTCCTTTTGCCATCTGCTGGACCAATCAGCTAAATCAACAATATCCTATAGAATCTGTTTGCATCATTGTTCCTTAATATTTACTCTCCCTCTCAGTTAAATTATCTCAGAAATCCTGGAGATCTTGACCCCAATCCTGCGCTGCCTCCGAGATGTGCTTAATGCCACTTTTGCCCTCTTTCCCACCAGTCCTGGGTGGCCAGGAACTAAGTTGTTCTGCAGTGTAAATTAGAGCATCTTCAAGGGTGTTTTGACTTATATCATCTCTCTATGACCTCCAGGAGCCATTCGGCAATGGGGGAATATTGTACAAGTGTGGAAGTATAGAAATTCCTTGACCTTGTCCCATTTCCCTGGATATATATTCTATACAAGGGGCCAGGAGTAGGACCCTCTATGGTGGTTCTTTGCCACCCAAGAATTTCTCTGACACTAAATTGGTAAGACCGCATTATGGCTGCTTTGTGCCACCAAAGAGGTATAAATCAACTGAAGCAGGGCTGAGGAGCTAGTCCCCTATTTTGAATGCCTTCAGCTAAATCATTTGTATATGTTATGAACAATTGATTTCCTAAAACTGTTCCCAGTGGCGAGCTGGTCTTGTGGTTAAGACACTGGTCTGAAACTGAGGAGACTGAGTTCAGTTCCTGGCTTTACCAAGACTGTCCGCGTGATCTTGAGCAAGTTGCTGAATCTCTCAGTGTCTTGGTTCCTCATCTGCAAAATGGAAATAATCATACTTCTTTACTCCCATGCATTGTCCATCTTGTATACTTAGAGCATAAGATCCTCAGGAAATGGGCTTTTTCTTTTGTGTATTTATACAGTGCCTAGCAATATGGGGCCCTGAGCTCTGATGGGACCTTTAGGCACTACCGTAATACAAATAATCCTTAGTAATTTCCCTTGTTGATGAGAAAAGTAGTAAATGTTCATCTGACTAGCAAGAGATGGGCCTAAATGAGAGTAATCACTCTCCAGCCAGATTCACAATTTATAACTACCTTTCTCCATCTGAACTTCATGGCTTGGTCCCACACCTGTAGCTGACATTTGTCCCCTGCTGTTTACCAGGTTTTTGCGCAGAAGCCTACTTTACTTCCTATTCCATGACTCTTACCTTACCCATTAATCTCAGATTTGAGTCAGAGGAACAGGAAGGAATGGGGACAGAAAAAAATATATGAATGAATTTCAGTTTTTTATATAACTAAGTGCTATTATCCCTCAGAATAATTATAATCATTCAGTAATTGAGGGGAAATTTTACAAGAACTAGAAACCTTTTTTTTTTTGCCATTACTTAAATCGGAAAAAAGATTTTTTTTAACAAGAATTCAAAATTTGGAGGGAGATTTTGTATTTGATTTTGAAATATCCAAGAAGCCAATGAAAAATGCTGAGGTTATACAGGTGAGGAGAGGAGCCTGACACATGTCAACACTGATGTTTGGAGAATTGTGACAAAGCAAGAGAACGTGAATGGTGGGGATACAGAGGTCAAGATGGGAAATGGATATGTGAATAAGAGCTTCAGTAGGGGAGTGACCAAGGCCTTGCTGAATGTGGACTGCATTCCAGGGGTTACAATAGGCAAGATTCATAGACTTGGGAGCTATGGGGAGGCAAAAGAGGATAGCGTTGAACTGAGCGTGTGTGTAAGCGAGCCTACAGTAATTACATTATCCACAAATATTAGACAGTCAATTTTAATTACATAAATGTATTTTCCTCCTTTAATGAGCATAGTTTATCCATTTAAACTGATCATTTTAATTTTACAGGCAGTGATCATAGGAATTGATATGTAGAAGGAAAATTTCCAGTTGGCATATTTTATTTCATACACATTGAAGAAAATTTACCTTTTAATCCCCAATCAATATCTAAAGAGCACACAATTAACAGATAGCAAGGTCATTAACATAAATCTACAAGGTAAAGAGCCACTTCCTTTTGATTTATAATGAATAGAGTAATAATTTTGTCATCATCTCTCTCAGAAAGTGTCTGATGCTTTGTAGCATGAAGATGTCAAAACTGTACTTAAGATTGTTCAGAGTACTGAACTGGGGTGGTTATTGCCTCTTGGTTCCCTGATGTGTGGAATGGCACATGAAACATTCCCATTAGAATACTCTGCTTTTCATTGTAGAGGTCACTGGATAACTTAAATCAGTCTTGGGTGTAATATTAAAAGGAGATTGCCAATTGTAATATGAACAATTCATTTTTTCTTCTTTGTCCTTTTACAATATGAAAATTTCCGAACAGAAAGCAGAGCCTTTAAGGGAAAAAACACTCTGAATTTACTTATGCAATTCATGTCAATCAATGGCCAAATAAATTAACTGACTGCTATGCATACATGGAATAATAATCTAACGTATTTTTGCAACCCAAGTCTCTTTCCTTGAATGCATTTTTCTCCTCAGGATCAGGTTGGTTGCCCCTGAAATTTTGTGGCTGTGAAAATTTATTACCCACAGAGTCAATCTACATTCAGTCTGCCAAGTCTGAATAAATAGAGTCATTGTGCTTGTCTGGAATATGTAACCAAAGTTCAACCAGTCAGCTTGACTTTCACATCCCAAGAGATTCATAAAAGCCAACACCCTGGTATGTGCTCTTGATTCCTGCCAAAATTTTGTAAAATTGTATAAACAGAAGTTGAAGAAGGAATCAAAACTTGGTCTG